AAGGAAATGAGAGCTAAGTACTTAGCTCCAGTGCACGTAAGTCGACGGCGGAGAACCATCTGGTCATTGAGGAAAGAGATGCGAAGGTAACGAGCAGAAACGAGGACTGATTAGCAGAGGGCAGAGGAAATCAGGCCAATCCTGGAAGACATAAGGAAGCGCATTAGCAAGTTAAGTAGAGCGGAACGGCTTGCCAAAAAGAGACAGAAGGCTACCAAGGCCCGGAAGTCATTCACGGAAAGTCCGTTCCGCTTCCCGAAGCAGTTGTTTAGGGAGTAAACTAACGGAGCGTTGAGTATTGAGCAGGAGGAGGTGGAGAGACACCTTATGAACACGTATTCAGATGCCAGCAGGGATGTCCCATCGAGGTGATACCAGGTTTATTCAGGCCTGGCGCCCCAGAAGTTGGTTTTGATGAGTCTCCAGTGACTTGGAAGGAGGTCCAAGGAGTTGCACGGAGGTCAAGAGCGTCTTCTGCTGGTGGTCCTAATGGTGTGACATATGCTGTCTACAAGAGGTGCCCCAGGATGCTGAGGTGTTTGTGGAGGCTTCTTGTGAAGATTTGGGAAGTTGTTGATGTTCCGGATTGTTGGTGTCGAGCTGATGGGGTGTATATACCGGAGGAGGAAAATTCGTTGACAGTCAGTTTCGCCCAATGGGACCTCTCTGCTGGCATCCGAGTACTTGCTTATAAGGTGTCTCTTCAGCTCCTCCTGCTCAACACACAACTCTCCGCTACTCTTCTACCTAAACAACTACTTCGTGGGGCGTAACGGACTTTCCGTGAATGACAGTTCTTTATGGCCGTTGAAGATTGGCCTGCGCATGTATGGATGGTGGGATGGGAAACCTTTTGAAGATCGCGCCTGCCTGAAGTCTGGCAAACCCGTACCAGTATGTAATCTTCCGGTCCATCCGTGGATCAGGTAGAGTCGCCTGTTTCATGTCGGATGTAAATCCACGCGACAATTTGATAATGACAGCTGTGAGAGACAGAGGGAATGGCTCTAAAAGAGTCTTCAAGTCAGTAAAGAGTCGCAAAATACACCAAAGATGAAAGGTGGCAGTGATTCGGTGGCAAAGAGGCGCATGGCGGGTAGTCGTTAAGTCTTCGGAGTGTCGGGTCCAGGATAAACGCCACAGTGTCCTTTTCGAAACTGAATCTAGTCGCCGAATTATCAAGTGGCCTTCCTCTGGTCAGAGATGGATGAAGACTTATCAGCAGCCATCCCGACACTCAGGGGTGGTCAAGGGTGGTCCTCTTCAGCAATGTATTATATATGTAATTGGCCCTGATCTGGCATCTCGTCTGCGGATGCTCTCTCTCAGACGGGCAGTCGCCTCCATCTGTCTTTTTTACAAATACTTTCACGGTATCTGCTCCGATGAGCTGCTTTCGCTGGTTCCCAGACTTCATGAATTTAAGCGTTCTACTAGGCTGGCATCACACTCTTACCCTTTCTCTGCCGAAACTGTTAAATGTAGCCCTCTCTTCTACTCCAATAGCTTCTCGCCTGTGGAACTCCCTCCCCTTTTCCTGTTTCCCTGATCGCTATAATCTCCAACTATTCGTATGTAATGTCAATCGACGTCTCCAGATGCCCTGATCTATCCCCTATCCTTCTCTTCATCCTTTCCTCTATCAATCCTCTTTGCTCTAGCTTCAATTCTCTGTAAGCCCTTGCGTGCGAGTGGCTTCCCCCTTGCTTGGGGTGAAATTCTTAATATATATATATATATATATATATATATATATATATAATAATAATAATAATAATAATATATCCGCTACTCAGAGTTTCATATAGTAACAATCATCAGATGGATATAATATAAAACAATATCTACAATCTGATTTAGATAATCCAAGGGTGGGTGGTATCTGCTACCCCGGATGTAATGTTTTTAATTAAATACTTATTCCTATGCATCCATATGGTCAACAGATTTCACCAATTTTTCATTTAGGCCCAAGTTAAAGCCTTCTCAAACTCTGTTTTGTTCTCTGGTTTTCCATTATTTTTCATGTGATAGTGCTTCTCTTCAGCTGCTAAGGGCATCTCAATAGTGGGTAGAAAGAGCGATGCTATCTTTGTCTTTCCTGTTGCTCAGGCTCAACTTATAACAGTAGAAACGTCTTTTTCATTTACACTAGGCGGCTCCTATGTAATACTTGATCTCGCCATCACTAATCACCTTAGCTCCAAATACAACGTCTTTTATTAAACACACTCCATTCAGAGGGCATTCTTTTTTTACTCTGCCGTTACCTCTGCAGGATCCCTTGCTATGAAACTCCTCCATTATGTTTCTATTCTGGTTTATCATATTTTTCTATACATTTAGTGCAGCTGTAGCTCACTTTTAAATTGTTTCTACTGATTATTTTTTCAACTTTGGTCAATTGGTGAAATGTCTTAAGTTTGCGTTTCTGTATATGTTAAATAAATCCGGTAATTAGTGTACTACTGTTTCTTATTTTTGGCTCATTTTATATAAAATGGAACGATTTATATATATATCCTGTGTTCATATATATATATATATATATATATATATATATATATACAACTCGTAAGTTATATAAATCATCAGGAGGAACATGCGAATATGTAAGGAACCTGAGTTTAAGTCTACCAAGCATTTGAGGGTAAGCTAGGCGCCAAGCACGAGACATGATGTGGGCGCAAAATTGCGAAAATACCACAACCGCATTTGTCAACACACTCATTTTTTCAGACGATGGGGGGCCGTAAGATGTTGAGTGACCTTTACATATATAAATGTTCACCATTCTACATAACACACAGACGTACACGTGCATTTAAAATGGCCACGAGCCATCAAGAATGCATTTTTTTTTAAAGGCAAAAAAAAAGAAGAATGACTAAAACGTTTTAAATAATGCAAATGATTATCTGTGAAAACTTTTATGGTCCCGCTCTCTTTCACTCTCTCTGTCTCTGTCTCTCACATAGTATCTCTCTCTCTCTCTCCCACACACTTCCTCTCACTATCTCTCATTCTCTTACTCTCACTCACTTTTCTCTCTCTGTCTCTCACACAGTATCTCTCTGTGTCTCTCACCCACACACACACACACACTCTCTCTCTCGCTATTTCTCATTCTTTATTTCTCATTCTCTTACTCTCACTGTCTGTCTCTATCTCTGTCTCTTGCACAGTGTCTCTCTCTGTGCCTCTCATCCATACGCTCTCACTATATCTCATTCTTTATCTCTCATTCTCTTACACACACTATCTCTCTCTCTTTCTCTCTCTCTTTCTCACATAGTATCTCTCTCAGGGTCTCTCGCCCACGCTTTCAATCTCTCACTATATCTCATTCTTTATCTCTCATTCTCTTACTCTCTCTCTCTTTCTTTTCCCTCTCTTTCTCTTCAAGTGCAAAAGAACGAAAACCATAGACTAGGCATAGACAACCGAAAATTTTTTCGTATAAAGTAAAAGTAATTTTTACTACAGAAAATAATACACGTTCGTATCTGTCTTAAAAACAAGGAAAAGATTGATATTTTATAACACATGTATACAAAAACAAGCAGTATGAATATAGGAAAAAGACATAGGGTCTTACTTGTAATAATTCCCAAACGGAATTCGAACTGTCGGATGATTCCCATATTTTACCCAACGGGCAAAACGGCAAGGCTATGTGTTGCGGCCATATTTGCATTTCCCGACAGGAATTCCTGCGACAGGATGTATTTTGGTGAAGTCATATATCCCACACGGAAAAATGCGACTCATGTGTATCTCACAACAGGAATTCTGCAAGCCGTAGTTTCTATATTTACCAAAGGAAAACGGCGCTACGAAAGAGCTTCCGTTTGCTCATGACCTTCATAGACGTTATTCATTTTGTATTGAATTTTAATGGTTTTGCGTGACTAGTCGCTTCTACGTAATATAGTAAGAGATTTTCTAAGCGACCAACACGCCTATCTCGTTCTTGATTAGATAGTAGAGGAATTTCGTCGATGAAATATTTTCTTTCGTTACGAATTTCTCTCCATTGTATTATTGCTGTTTTTTATATCTCTATATCTCTGAGATGAGGTATTATGATTACTTACATTATTTACATTACTCGGACTGTTATCATCTTTATTGCCGTATGCACAACGTTTCGAAATTCTAATCACCTGAAGAAGGCCGGAGCGTACAACGGCCTAAACGTTGTGAATATGACATTGAAGATGAGGATAACAGTCCGAATAATGTAAATAATGCAAGTAATCATAATACCTCATCTCAGAGATCCAATCACCTGAAAAAGGCCGGAGCGTACAACGGCCTATATGATATGAATATGGCAATGAAGATAACACTCCGAATAATGTAAATAATGCAGGGTTTTTTTTTGGGGGGGGTGTCACAACAATCTGGTTCGTCACCTCTTAATTATTACTTATATTTTATTACTAATATTTCATTACTATATTTATTTTTTATTGCTGCATTTTATACTAACATTTATCATTAGTATTTGCTTATTACGGGTTAAAAATTGTTGGTTCCCTCAAGCGCTCTAGTAAGTGCCTGGACACCTCCAGCTATCCCCTATCTTACAAGCCGAAAATGGTGTACTCTTGTCATATATGGGATGCAGCTGCCCAGTCTTTATATTCCAGTAAAAGAATCTCAACGACCTTGTGGGTGATGAATTATTTTTCATTAATATTTTATTCTTTTCACTCCTCTATCAATGGGGTGGATTTAGATTCGCCTTCGTCAGATTCAAACACCCACCCGGTCTTTTGAACAGGATTAGAGGTTTATCCCTTGTTTCCTGTGCAGGATTGGGTTTCTGGTTTCTTCCAAAATCTATTTCTAAGTCTATACTTCTAACGCTCATCCTTTCCAAAGCTAATATAACTCCACACACTGACTCTCTACCTTGAGTGGCTCATGGGTCTTGTATTGGTGGAGGAGAGAAAAAATGAAATAAATAGTGAACAAACTTGCAGAGCTCAGGCGCTGCACCTGGTATTCCCAAACGTTCACCTCTCTAGGTAGTAACCAGGCTCAACTTTGCTTACCTTCGGTGATCGTACGGGAACCAATGTTTCGACGCGATATGCCTGCAGGTTAATTTAATTATTGACCAAGGCTTTTGAGATAAACAGCAACAATCATCAAAATGAATAAAGAGAGTATATGTGTCATAAATTATAAGGCTCAAGAGCCACTCAAGAAAGCAGGTACTGAGTGTGTGATATAAATATAAGAGGAAAAAGTAAAAAGTGAAGATTACGTGACAGGTAGCGACTGACCCGTGAGGCTAAGAGGTCGAGATTGAAGTGTTCGGGGAAGAATCCAGGTTTTACTTTCCCAAGACATGCGTCGCATTTCAGCTCAGATATGTTGATGGAACTGGTGAGGTGCCTAGCTACGCGGCGACCCTACGACCATACCCGGACATGGGAATTAAGATTAGTGAAAAAGTGTTGATAATTGATCAAGGAAGTTTCGTTCGTGAAGGTTAAAATGGCACACGATATACAAAACGACCTCAAGTCCGTTGTTAACTGGGGCAACATATGGCTTGTTAATTTTAACGCTTCCAAAACTAAAGTTCTCTCTATTAATCATCTAAGAGACCCCACTCTGTCTCGCATTTGTATGGCTGATGCTAACCTCCAGGAAAGTGTCTCATTGCGCCTTCTCGTGCTAACGTTCTCAGCTGACATGATGTGGAAAGACTATGTTGAATCCATTGCTAGGTCAGCTGCTAAAGAAGTTGGTTCACTGTATCAGGCAGGACAATTTTACTCTCCTGAATCTATTTATCATATCAATAAGTCTACCATTCGTCCATGCTTAGAATATTGCTGCCACATATGGTCTGGTGCCCCTGCTATTTAGTTTGAACTTCTTGATATGATCCAACGCAATATTATAGGTCCTGATCTGGCGACTCGGCTTTAGTCACTTTCCCACCGCCGTAAGGTTGCCTCCCTGTGTCTTTTCTATAAATTCTGGTAATTGTTCGGATCAGATCTTCGCTATGGTACCTAGACTTTTTTTTAATAGAAGCGCAGTTGCTGAATGGCGTCGAGATCTCCTCAATTTCCAGATGAGCTGACTAGATGTAGAAAAAAACACCAAAACACTAGCAAAATCAAATAGTAAAAACAGATTTATGATTCTTGAAGCAATAAATCAAATAAAAAAAAAAAAGCAAGACATATTTGAGGAGACGCTCCATTTATTTATTAAACAGTATATTTTATTTTTGTCTAGCGGCCTGATATTCAAGAAATCTTATTAAAGAGAGAGCATGTTTTTATTTAATAAGATTTCTCAAATAAACCAGTCATTCTCATTTTTAAGATAAACGTCTGTACTTAAAGTTTAAAGTGGCTAAGAATAACAGATGAAAAAAAAAGGTTGAGGAGTGTCGTCTTGTGATTGTCCCTTGAGGATAATTCTTGCACTTCAACAGTTGTTTGAAAGTGAGGATTTATCGGTTGACACTCGAAGATCAAAAAATGGTCTTCAGTGGTTTATTTATAAGAAACTGCACAAAACTGTCCCTGTTTTTTGGTCCACCGGAGGAGGCTGTTCTAGTTCCACGTGCCATGCTTCTTCCTGGTATCTCATTTTCAGTTATTTCCCTTTAGTAACTCAATTCTCCAATTTTTTATCCATTTGTTCTTGTGTCCTTGAGGACATCTGTGTATGAAGTAAAGAATTCGGTTTGAAATTCCAGTCTCCTGTACAACAGTATGGCTAATGCCTAATGTTTCCTTATAAGAAAACGGCTAATATTACCATTACTCTTATTCCTTTTGTAATTATACCTTCGCTTTATTTTTCATCTGGTTCATGCCTTTTCTTTCTTAATTTACTTTCAATTTTTTTCATTCATTTCCTTTCTAAATTGCAAAATTACGCAACCTATTACACTTCTTTACTGGATTTTCCTTCCCCAATACACACAGGCGCGCACGCGCTATCCCACTCTTTCTCTGCCGCTCTCTCTCAGAGATAAAAACCCACACTCACACACTATCACTCTCTCAAACACACACACACATATACACATATTCTCTAACACAAAATCATACGCACAGTCTATCACACCATTACAAACATTCTTTCTCTTACACACAATCTCTCATATATTCTCACGCACACACACACTCTCGCATACACAAATTCTCTCTCAAACAAATTTCGCACTCTCTCTCTCTCTCACACACACACACTCTCACACATTCTTTGGCTCTATCAGTCAAACACAGATTCTCTCACACAAACACACACACTTTTTTCAAAACGTAGCTTATATGTGGAACAAGGCCGAAAGTATGGGGAACCCAATCAGGATCGAACTCACTCGTAATTGTTCTATTAACGCACACTTGCTAACCATTACACCGCCTCGAGGTGCCCTATATTGATTTTCTAAGCGTAGCTTAGATGTGGCACAAGGAAAGAATGGAGTACCCAGTGAGGATCGAACTCACGGCACAGTTGTAACTGTTTTAGCGAAACAAGCTTGCTAACCATTACACCACGCCAAGGTACTCAAGCATAGTGACTTTCTAAGCCCGGCTTAGATGTGGCACAAGGCCGAAAGTATGGGGCAACCAGTAAGGATTGAACTCACTACTCAGTCGTAATTTTCTAGCCAGACAAGCTTGCTAACAATTACATCGCTTCAGGTGCCTCCCCCACCACTATATATATATATATATATATATATATATATATATATATATATATATATATATATATATATATATATATATATATATATATATATATATATATATATATATATATATATATATATATATATATATATATATATATATATATATATATATATATATATATATATATATATATATATTGTTTATGTGTGCGTGCGTGTGTGTGACAGAAGCAAACGCAACATAAATTTATCGAAGAAAAAATTCTCCTAATAAGCATTAAATATAAGTTTGTTTTGTGACCTTTTTTTTTTTTAATAAGCGGCAAACTACGTTTCACCTAATTGTGTTGGTGCCAGTCTTCTGGATAAATTTGATAAACCGATTGCAAATGGCGGTGGCCGGCGGGGTAAAATCGGTCTGTAAGGGGCGGTGGCGGATATAAAACTGGCCATTGGGTGGGGGAAACGATTTTGGGAGGAGAAACTATGGCTGTTGAAAGGGTAACTTTTTACTAATGATTGTAATTGTAGCAGACGTTGCATTAGAAAGAATCCTTTTAGTAAAAAGAGTAGAAGATATGTTAGCAGAAGTAATAATAGTTGCTGTCGTAGTCGAATAGAAGTAGCAGTATTAGTAGTAGCGGCATGAGATTTATTTTGTGTGATGTCTTGAAACCATTGGTGGTCTCGGCTATATACATTTAGGATGTAGGCGATCACTCGTTCCCACAATTTATTTTTAATAAACACTATAAGGACACGCGGTCCACTTAAGGGTGAACATCCGAAGATCGACTGGACCTCGAATACAGCTGTTCCATCTGCCTTTCTCTGGGCTGCCGCCCTGAACCAAAACGATCCTTCGATTGGCACTCCCTGACTTCACGATTGAACTACACCAAATTCCTGTACATACTTTCGCCAGATTGATAAATAAAATTTGGCTTAGATTTTGAAATTCTCGCCTTTGGTGTCCTTGCTTCGATCGTATTATTAGTCTACGTAATTTTATGTTTGCGGGGTTAACAGCACCTGCTTGACGCTTCGCAACAATAGTAACCTTAGACAGCTACTTAAAAACAATACCAAAACACTAGTAAAATCAAACAGTAAAAACAAGATACTTGAAGCAAATACAGATAAAAAGAAACAATCCATATTTGAGTAAATGTTCTGCTTATTTATTAAACTAAACAATATGTTTGTTCATTTTCGTCTACCAGCCTGAATATTTGATAAATCTTATTAAAGATCACTCTCTCTCCCCATCTCAATCTCACTCTCTTTCTCTCTCTCTCTCTCCATCTCAATCTCACTCTCTTTCTCTCTATCTCTCTCTCCATCTCAATCTAACTCTATTTCTCCCTGTCTCCATCTCAATCTCACTCTCTTTCACTTTCTCTCTCTCTCTCTCTCCATCTCAATCTCAATCTCTTTCTCTCTCTCTCCATCTCAGTTTCACTTTCTTTCTTTCTTTCTCTCTATCTCTCTCTGCATCTCAATCTCAATCTCTTTCTCTCTCTCTCCATCTCAGTTTAACTCTCTTTCTTTCTCTCTCTCTCTCTCTCTTTCTCTCTCTTCATCTCAATCTCACTCTCTTTCTCTCTCTCCATCTCAGTCTCATTCTCTTTCTTTCCCTCTCTATCTCTCTCCCCATCTCAATCACACTCTATTTCTCTCTCTCTCTCTCTCTCTCCATCTCAATCTCTCTCTCTTTCTTTTAATGAGATTTCTTGAATAATTAGTCCAGTAGACGAAAATAAATAAATATACTGTTTAATAAGTAAATTATGCATCTACTCAAATATGGGTAACCATTAGAAGACATGGCACGTGGAAGTAGAACAGACTACCCCAGCGAGCGAAATAAAGATTTCAGTTCGACATTCCAACCCCCTGATGAAGGCCGGAGCGTACAACAGCCGAAACGTTGTGATAAATATGACAAGAAAGGTGAGGACGATAGTCCGAATAATGTAAATAGTATGTTGGATTAATAAATAAAAAAAAATACTTTATATAAATAGCCATTTTCCGATATCACATCTCCTGACGAGTGGACCAAACAATTGCACAATTGTTCATCTATGTTTATCGGAGTATATGTGCTGAATCTAACATCACTCTGCTAAATGACAAATATTTGTATAAATCTATCTGATGGTCAGCAAATTTGTCTTGCCAGCACAATTACAATTGAGGAATCAATCCTCATTGGGTGCTGCCCACTTTCGGACTTGTGCCACATCTAAGTTACGTATAGAAAATTATGAGCATTTCGACGTGATGTAATAGCTGGCAAGCTTGTCTCTCTAGCTTAATTACGACTAAATACTGACTTTGACCCTCACTTGGTTCCCAATACATTCGGCCTTGTGCCACATCTAAGCAACGCTTAGAAAACCACCGTGGCAACACTCACTAGTTCTACGAAACTCTCCAATTATCTCTACCTATCTTGATGGTGACATAAGTCTCCAATTATCTCTACCTACCTTGATGGTGACATAAGTCTCCAATTGTCTCTACTTACCTTGATGGTGACATAAGTGCTAACCATTTTTGTTGTTGCTGTCTTCAACTGATGTGTTTTTTATTTGGTAAAATAATTTTCTGTGATTTTATAGCTCCAGATCTGATGAAAAATCGTGTTGAAGACTTAAAGTATTTCTTCCATCGAAGCGATTTTAATTATTGCTCCGTTAAAGCAGTTGCGTATACAGGGGACAATGGGTAAATTGTCGTCATTTTATATTTTTAATTTCGCGCATGCGCGTTGATCTTTTTGATTTTATCGACTGCACAGTATAGTAAGGTCAGTTGGGCAGCGTCTGTGAGAAAAAGAGCACCATGACGCAATTTACTCCACTAGAAATTTGGAAACGGCATGCTGTACTGCTTGGTATTCGCGCCGGAAGCTCCAATATGAACATTTCAGAGTGTTTGGGTTTCAATCTGAGAACAGTTCAAAGGATTCAGAAAGAGTTGGATGAGTCTAATCCTGATTACGAAGGTACGGCAGCTGGAAAAACTCACTCTGATGGTTCTAATAAGAAAAGAACACCCGAATTTGTCGATGAGAGCCTCAGACTCAACACGGAGCTCTACCTCAAGTGCCTTAAAGAGGTAGTGCTGCCCTGGGTCAAGAGGGTGGCTGCTGGAAGATATTATGTCTGGAAACAGGACTCTGCACGATGGCACACAAGCAGGAGAAACCAGTCATGGTTGTCAGACAATTTCTGCAACCACATCTCCCCTTATATCTGGCTACATAACTCCTCAGACTGCAACCCTCTTCATTATTATGTGTGGGGTGCAGTTGAGCAAGAGGCTAACAAAACACCTTGTAACACCAAAGATGAATTTAAGGCAAGGATTATGTCATCATTTTACAAACTTAAAGAAAGATATTCTCCAGAAGAGTTGCAGGACATTGGAGGCCGTGGTTGAAGCCAATCTTTTGTATTACAAGATATTTTTGTGTAATTTTCGTAAATATATCTGTTAGAATGGAATGTCAGCGTTGTTTTCATTTTGGCGGCATTTTCCCGACAATTTATCCATCGCACCCTGTATATCTTAAAATGTCGGTGTCATTTTCTAGTAATTTAGACGACAATTTATCCATCGCAACCTGTATATCTGTTAAAATGAGACGTCAGCGTTGTTTTCATTTTGGCGGCATTAAGATGACAATTTATCCATCGCACCCTGTATATCTGTTAAAATGAGACGTCAGCGTTGTTTTCATTTTGGCGGCATTAAGATGACAATTTATCCATCGCACCCTGTATATCTGCTAAAATGAGATGTCAGCGTTGTTTTCATTTTGGCATCATTTTCACGACAATTTATCCATCGCACTCTGTCTATCTTAAAATGTTGGTGTTATTTTCTAGTCATTTAGACGACAATTTATGCATCGCACCCTGTATATCTGTTAAAACGAGATCGGTGTCATTTCTAGTCATTTAGACGACAATTTATCCATCGCCCCCTCTAGATGAGCTTTTAGATATTTCTGATTTGTTTATTTAGAAACATCGTATCGTGTCACAACCTGAGGAGGTCCTTCGGTAGACGTCGGCCGTGCCCACATTCATGTGGTAGAATGGTCCATTACCCGACAACGTTGGCGCAGTCCATGTTGATAGGGGCGCTTGGACGATCATATTCCTTTTCGATTTATGGTCGCCCAAGTGTATTTGCACGTAAGGAAATATAATGAACCCGACTGGAACTTGAACTCGGCTATCCGATTTCTCCTTCCGAGTCATCAACTTTTACTCCACACGTACAATGCAAAGCCAAGCCATCACTCGTCCAAGTACTGGCCAGGTTTCACATTGCTTAACTTCGGTATTCTGCCGAAAACCGGTGATATGGCACCTCAAAAAAATCGATAAATATGAGCTTACCGTGATAAAAGTTTTATAGGCAAAATTATTATTAGACCAAATTATTATTTCATTATTTCATTATTGTTATTTTTTAAATCCTTTCTAACATATTTGAAAGTTTGGTTAAAATTCTTCTTGAGTTAGCGACTGGGCCAAAGATTTCTATTAGGACATTTAGCGATTTTTTTTTCGGTAAAAAACACATTGCTTAGGAAATTCTTGCAAAAATTAAATTATTCTCGAATTCTAATGACTTATTCACAAATGAATGAAATAATTTGGGAAATTTTAGTTTTAGAAAATCTTGTAAAAATATGTTTTTTACATGTGATAGCGTTACATATTTAATATTATAATATTTCGAGTAATTAAAGTTTTAACCTCTTCATATTTATATTAAAGTAGAACACATTGGTCAACTTAAATCGTTCTTGTCAAACAGTAACATCATTTACCCAAAATTTGTTGTGAATCGTAAAATTAAAAATGTCAAAATGTTTTATGTTATTATTAAGACGCAAAACCAAAGACATTTTTTATTATTATATTAAATTATTTAACCCTTTTCAGAACGTTCGAAATTTTGGTTAAAAATCATATTTATTTAAATTTTAGTTATAAATCCTGTGTATTTACCAAAAAAAAAAAAAAAGAAAAGAAAAAAATTTCTCATAGTAATCTTTGGCTGATCCACGTCATTGTTTTGGAAATTCTTAAAAAAATCAAATACTTGTCAAATTTTAATTAAATTTTCAGGATTTATTCACTAATGAAAGAAATTAGTTTAAAATTTATTTTAGAAAATATTGATAAAAATAAATTCTTTTTTTTTTTACATCTATTACCCCCAGTTACATATTTTAGGAAATTTCCAAAAAATTAAAATTCCACCTTATTCAATGAAACTATATTATTTAATTAGGAAAGCTTTTATTGGGTTTTTAAAATAAGATGTATTCAGAGCATTATTGTCTTAAGAAAAAAAAAACATTTTTTCGATGAATAACGAATTTTTACAAGAATTGTTTTCATTTTTTTTAACTTTAATTAGAATAATATATTAAGTTTCAAATCGTTTAAAATTCTGTTCGAATTCCAAAAATATATTGATTAATCATAAATGGTAAAATCATAATTGGAAATTTTTTGTATGTGTATAAACGTGCTGATTTTTTATAAATATGGGTAACCATACACGACATTAATGAAAATAAGAGCCATATCTATAGTAAATTTAAAGCTAAAATTTCTAAAATTGTGTAAAACATTAGATCATGGAGGACATGTTCCTAAATTTATAGGACTACTGATTAATTAAATAGGACGCTTTTTGTCCACTGTGAACTTTTTCAAAGTAAAAAAACAATAAAGTTCACAGTGAACAAAACGCGTCGGCTAAAATTGCACAGGGACGTACCGAAGCAAAGTGCCGCCCGGGGCCCGTATTCATAATGGCACCCACTTTTTTTGCAAGAAAAATATAAATGAAATATCCTTAATGACGTTGATTAGTACTTGAAAAACAACCAACTTCAAAAATTAGCTGAACAAACATTATTATATTTTAACCTTTCGAGCTTTTGCTGAAGCAAAGTTACTAATAACTTGGTCAAAGTCTATTTTCTCCAGTTTCATGTTCAATTGAAACGAGGGACAAATTGGATAAGCGATCTTGCAACATACTCGATCTCAAGTGACTTTTAATAAGATTCAGTTTTGAGAAATTTCTTTCTGCAGTAGCAACAGAAATTGTGAGCGTCAAAAACAGCCGTAGAGCAATCACAATATTTGGCACTGTTTCTTAAACTTGCCATCAATAAATCCATCTAAGCCATTCGATAGCCGATGATTTGGTCATCATGGAAGCTGCCGCTAAAAAATCCCGATGTCGGAGAACTTCCAAAGCTAGCCTAGATACATTTAATTCAGTACCGTATTCTCTACTGAGAATTTTCAATTTTCCCCTTCAGTATCTTCCAAGAGTGCTTGCTATGATAATCCAGCAAAGACAGTTTGCAGATGAGACATGGAGTCAAATCGTGCTTCCAGTTCATTTACAAGTCGATCGTGACATTCGTAAAGATTTTTCTTTACTTCCTGCAAAAGTCTTTGACACACATCATCTTTCTTTTCCCCAGATAGCTTTCTCTTCTAATCCGCTTTTCTATTTCCTCGCTCTTTGATTTACTTTGATTAACTGATTCAGACACCAGCATGTCCCTGTTTTGGTTAAAGACAATTTTGGGTGCATCCATGTGGGTTACACACACATCCAAACCAATCCCAGGTTCTTGAAGTTTCTTTTGGATGAGATTTATTTGTCC